ATCTTGACTTTGAGCCGTGTCAGTTGGAGAGTGTGAGCAAGATGAATGAGTTGTTTGATCACATCTCAGGTCCCCTTCAATGCTCCTCCACCAGCTGTGAGCTTCTCATCCATCAGAGACTGTATGTGCTCCCCCATTGTCCCCTATGTTTGTGTGTGTGTTTGTGTGTGTGCGCATGTGTATATAATACAGTTAAACAAAACTGACCTCACAAAAACTGAGATCCATAATTGGCTTTCACGTGCAGCAGGTGTGAGTGTTGAATACTATTCGCTCGGCTAGTTTTACGGTAACATCTGTGTGTCTGGCTCCGGTGCGTCAGTGTGTCCTGAGAGTGGATTAGGTCTATAAATCTGGACGCTCATAACATGAGCACTTCCCTAAATTATACATGCAATCTTATTATCTTTTTAATGAAAGGAGAATCACAAGGGGACTCATAACACCGGCCGTTTGAAACTCCTTGATTGCCTGAGTGGGAATCGGGCAATTAAAAAAATCTCTTTCAAAAAGATTTGTTGCTGGTCCATGGTACCGTAGGCAGATCACTGCATGGGCAACGTGGGCAAGTGTCCAGGGCCCTGCAAGTACTCAGGGCCCAGCAAATGGAAGTCTTGCCCTAAGATTTATTATTTTATATATTTTTAATGTAAAGTATTTTTGCTTTTTGTGGTTTTTCCAGGGAAGGGACAGTCAACGAGACATTCCATCATTTAGCTATGTTCTGTGAAGATCCCAGACAGGCTTGTACTTTTATTCAACAATAAATGACAGAATTTAAAAGGAATACATGCTGTGTGGTTGTGAGTTGCCCTGTGCTATTGTGCAACTAAACTCTGCTTGGAGAGGACTAACGCAGTCCGTTCTGTACGTAGTGATCGAAGGCTAGTTTGTGACCAGGGTCTGTGGGTATGATAAACCCTCCATGCATGGTGCACGTATCTTAAAGTAAGGCAGTTCAAAGGTTTCTATCACTGGGTTATGTTGTGCTTGGTCATGAAAAATTTACAGCGTAAGCCTGTACTGTATGTGTGTCATACCTGTGCACTTAGTGGGGAAAAAAAGATGAATCCTGTTAGATGCTTGAAAGGTTGAAGCCAGCCTCTCTGCAGGAGGCTTAGTGTCGACTAATACCTGAATACACTCTTGTCATACTGCACGGCAGATAATACATTAACAAATTTACAAACTTGTTTTTTAAGTTGTGGTGGAAATATTGCGTTAAACTTACACAATTTGAAACATAACTCTCCCCCCCACAACAATACTATAACAGTTTTGAGATGTTGCACAAAATGCAGACAAAGACCTAAAATGTAATATTATGTTGGTACAAATGAATCCAGAAGAGATCATTTAACCCCATTACACAGCTTTAGCCAGTTGTCTACAAAATAAGCACTTAATGGGTTCTTCCCAAAGACTGAGAATCGATAGGGGACGCTCCAAATATGATCTTTTTTGTTTTTAGATGGAGCTTTATGGTGTTAGCAAACTTTATTTAGAGCAGAATATAGTCATTTGATTGTAGAATAGGATTCTGTGTTCTAATGTCTTCTAGTCAGCGCTCTCTGGTGTGTTTCAGTTTCTCACCACTAGATGGAGACACAACCATGTGTTTCAGTTTCATTTTCAACCAACTTGAGAAGAGGTGGATATGATCTCATCCCATGCAGGACATTAAAAATAGCATCAGAGGAATAGAACTGTCACAACTCAAAGTCAGTATTCAAAATGTCAGCGTTGGATTGATCTGAGGTTTTGTGTTTGTTATGAAGGTGGGTGAAATAAAAAAAAGAATGCATTACATTTGTCTTCCTCTGTCTACTTTCTGTTTCTCTTGATTTTTTTTTTATTCTGAGCCTTTGCCTCATCATGTGTGTTCTTGTTGTTGTTCTTGTTGTTGTGGCTGCTCCCTGCCAGGCTGAGCCTCGCAGCAGACAGCGCTCATGAATCACCCTTATCGGGGTCTTCTACTGTCAGGAGGTGCAGTGACTCAAACGGCTTGGCTGAACAGTCCTGAATCACCACCCTAGTTAAAAATCCTGCCCGTACAGGCTTGGGAGAGGACGGGCTGTGCTCGCTGGCGCGGCGTGCTGCTTTAAAAGTCAGATTCTGCCGATACACACTGTGCTCCTACATCTAAGTCAGGGCTCATTGGCACTGTGGGCAATTAAGTTCAGCCATGCATGTCAATTCAATTATGCATCTGTGATGAGCCCTGAAATACCACAGAGCAAGACGTATGGTGTGGCCTAACACTAGACCACTTTGAATTTGCAGAAATCTTTTGGAAGGTTGATTTTTGTTACGAAAGGAATTTTCAAGTTTAACATGTTCAGAAGCGCTACCCAAAAGTCAACAAGCAAAGTTCACACCATCATTGTAAATCTGTTGTTTACTGAAATGATACAACAGGAGGTTCATTAGTTCTAACTGCACTTGCACTCAACAAAGATCCACATCTCAACAGGACTCTCTGCATCTTTGTTTTTATTCCTGCTGCAGAGAAAAACTAAAAGCGAGCAAGCTGAGATAGAACAGCATGTAAAACTATCGCAGAATAAACCAGCCAGGCTGTAATGGAAAAATAAATGGAGCATTACTGCGTTGCTGTCTAGCTGGCTGTGTGTATTGTGTACGTGCTTATTATTGTGTATGTGTCTGGAAACAAACACAATGAGCTCTCTGAGGAGCTGCAACTCAAAGGGATGCTGACTGAGCTACAGGAGAGAGAAAACAAAAAGTGTTGTTCCTGGGAAGATGGCCGCTCCTGGCACCGGATCACAGCTCGCGGAGCGGCAGAAGAGGGAGAGCATCTGTGTGTGTGTGTGTGTGTGTGTGTGTGTGTGGTTGTGTGTGTGCGAGTAATATGTAAAGTAGTGGAATTGGAGGTGTACAGCACTCATAGAGGACTTCTGTATTGACTGTCATTTGAGTACCCTTGAATGTTCCTAGAAAGTTATTTTCTGGGTTCAGTTTGAATACTTGACACACCCGGTTAATACTGTGTCATAACAGAAATACTGTAAATGATTACAATTAGTTATGAAGGACAATTTCCTTGTCATTGGGATTCAACCCAGCCTTAATATTATTGTTGAATATTATCCTCTGTTGTCAAGGACGAGCAAATTAGCTTGTTACATCATATTGATGTCATCACTGTTGGTTTTGAAACAACAAAGTATTTAAACTGGAGGGTATGGAGATAGAAAGCTGATTTTATTCCTATAGCTTCAGACAGGCGATGAAAATGAGCCATAAAAAGGAGGGTCAGCTAGCTAGCACTCTTGCTAGCATTTGTACTGCTTTGCTAAACAAATGTCTTTTGTGCGCAAGCTATAGTCCTATATATGTTGTTTTCTTCACACGCAGAATCATATTTGTTGTCATGTGTGTTATATTAACACTGACATGTTATCTTGTATTTCTGATGTTTCTCTTTGTGACGGTCATAACAGAACTGTTGGGAGTTCTTTAGCTTAGCGACGTAGAAGAATTTGAAGGAAATTAATTCCCTAAAAGAACTGTTAGACATTGAAAATGAAGATCGTTCAGTACCTTTCTACGAGATAAAGGAATTTTTATTAGCATTTCATTCATAATAAATAATATATTTTGGAAGTTTAGCTTATCTCAAGTCTGTTTCTTTAATGAACGCAGTTTTTTTTAATGTTTTAATTGTTCCCTAAAGTCATCATACATTTTGTTGAGGATTGTTGATTGATTTGTTGAAGAAATGTTGCAGGTTGTTTTGACTAAAGACAAAATTCAGGATGATTTAAAGAAGCCTGTCTTGTTTTCTCTTTGCTGTAACTCTGTTTTCACCATTTTCTTACTTCCACAGCACAAGCAATTGAGCTATGAAAAGGAGGACACAAAAAAAGTCCCAATTTAGCCTTTAAACATCACAGTCAGAGCGTCACCCCGATATTTTTTTTTAGGTCATTGCAGTCCATGAAGAAGATCCTAAAAATGTTGATCATATGGGAAATGAATGATCTAGATGTTTTTTGTTTGTTTGTTTGTTGTTTACATGTCTGACTTTGTATTTATTTATCTGTTTGCTGTGAGGCCTTCGACTACACCAAATTGCTATGCTAAATCTCAGGGGAAGCCCATCGATGTAATCTGAGAAACCTTTTCTTAACCCAGATCTGAACAATATCAGTAGTAACAATCTTCTCTCTGTTACATGACCAATGTGGGAGCAAGATCAAGGACTCTGAGAGTGGTTGTGCAATTACATTATGCACACCTATTTGCATCGCGCATGTTCATGTTTTCACATCTCTCGGTAATTGATACTGTACTTATGTAGTGCTTTTTCATCCCACAGGAAAAATGTGAACTCTCGAATTATATGTCTAAATATTTTCTTGTTTGTCATCAGTACAGTACATTAAACCTTGTCGTATTTGTCAGTCGTGCTCAACATGGCTAGCAGAGGACAAGCCTGTGTGTTTGGTGTAGAAGACTGAGAATCCAATCTCATGCTCTGCCAGAGAGATGTTTCTCCGTAATTTGATTTTAAGCCAGGACTGTATTAAAAAAAAAAAAAAAACACCACAGGTCACAAATGTTTGAATCATTTCTCTAATCATGCAAAGCTCAGGTCAAGAAACACAAGAGAGCGTCAGTCTGCTGACAGAATGTCACACAGAAGCATGAAATAATGTGTGTGTGTGTGTGTGTGTCTGTGTTGTGTGTGTGTGTGTGAAAGATTATTCTTCAGGGATTGATGATGAAATAGAGACGGTCAGGAAAAGACAATCACTCCCAGGCGTTAGAAGTGACACCTCAAAGTGCTCTTTAATCTTAATTCCGTTGCCTAAAGGCCACATGTCTGACAGAGTTGGACATTATTGATCCACGTGATTCATTAATTTACTTTCATCTCCATGTTGTCGTGCTGCTCGTACATGTTTAGCAGTTTTGATATGCTGTTTGATAACCCGCACACTGACAGCAGTGTCCTTGTCGTGCTCCCCCTTTAGGTCGATACCTGCGCCTGAAAATGTTCCGCGAGGATCATGGCTCCTGGATGACCATGTTCTTCAGCATCATCCTCTTCCTCTTCATCTTCTCACACATCTACAACCTTATCCTGCTGATCGCTGGGCGCATGGAGTAAGCCATTCAATCTCTCTCTCTTCCTTTTTCTTTTTTTTTTCTGCCCCTTTTTTTCCCCCCCCTCCATCATTCTCTCTGCTTCCCATTTGTTAGCGACTGGACGCTCCCCTTTGGCTGCTGTGATTGATCTAAACATCTCGCCTAAACACAGACTCGATAGCCGTCCGATTAATGAGGCTGGACGCTAAATCACAGGTAGAAGCAGGGAAAAAGGAGGGCGGTTAATCCTGAAAGATCACCTTTAGCAACCACACTCCTTCACCCCTGATCTTGACTTGTTGTTTTTTTTAAACCTCTCTAGAAAACAAAACATTCTTAAATGCATAGTAGGCTATGAGGGCTCTCAATCAAAACAGTAACAAAATATGACAATCGAGGTTGTCCCGATTTAAAAAAAAAAAAAAAGAAAAAAAAAACCCCCAAAAAAACCTCGGAGTTGACTAAACTGGCAAAACAGACCTGAGGAAGAGACAATATTTACTGTATAATTTACATAACCTTTTTGTCACCGCCGCTCATACAGCAACAGTACGCCTTATGCAGCAGTCTTAGACGTAACAGCCGGTGTTTCCATGGTAACATGTTGTGTCTGTCATGGCGGCCACACAGGGTGTTACAACTTTAAAATTAAGGATTCGTCTGGCTTTGATAACTGTTATGAATATTAGAGGTAATGTAAGTACTAAACAAAAAAAAAATATATATAACAGAGGTTTAGTCCATTTTTAATTAATTTAGATATTTCAGTGTAAAAATTCGACATATTACACCTTTAAGCCCTTTTTACACATGCACCACAAAACCTCTGAAGCTGCATATGTGACATGAAGGCTGAGTTTTCAGAGGGTGTTGATGATGACTTGTATTACACCACGTGTGCGCTCTCCATGCACATAATGAAGCTGCTTAATTTTGTTTTTCTGCTTTCCAGCATGTTCTTCTCTTTCACTCAAACTGTGAATTTGTTCGATAAGACACAGCATTGATGTAAAGTCAAAAACTGACTTGATGGTGTCGGACTCTGTTGCTCATCCACTAGATAGCTGCGACCATTTTATTTTGCCTCATGAGACCCCTCCCCCCCCAACACCGTGTCTGACAGGGAAACCTTTCTGCTATGAGGGGCATGTGTGAAGAAGAAATTTAGGAAGATATCAGGGGCACGCTGTCTGAAATTTTCCGGAGTGTGTGTGTGTGTGTGTGTGTGTGTGAAAACAGCTTCAGATTGAGCCTTGGTTGTACCTGCTGAGAAACCACTGTGCACAGCAGAGCCTGACACCCACACATCAAACCGGTGACAGGAATCCGTTTATGCATTTGCAATGTGTCCGTCTCCTGGAAGGAAAACATGCCCTTGAAGCCATGCAGCCAGATACGAGGTCGCCCCAAGGTGATTTACCGTTTTCGTTTGTTTGGGGCTGTAAAAAAAACAAAAAAAAAACAAGCATGGCAGGTGTCCATACAGCTACAGCCTGTCAGCAGGGCTGGAATGGGACCTGTCCATACAACGCTGCTTTCCTTACAAACAAGCATAGACAATCTATAAGGTGCAAGGAGATGAAGGGCCATTAGCTCGCAGGCAAGGTGTTGTGTTTTTCTACGGCCAGAGGGATGAGTTTGTATAATCAGCCCATCTGTCACTCTGAGACACCGGCATCCATCTTGTCCGCGCTCTCTGGTTGGCCGAGAAAAGGAAAAGAGGATGCGGGGAGGCTTGAGTGGAGAGGGGGCAGGTCCGCTGAGACGATGAATGTTGCTTGCTCAGGGAAAAGTTACATTTTGCAGTCGCTCCGAGTGCTTCTGTCACAAAGCGGATCCCTACTCTTTTACAGCCTTGAAATGTCAAGAAAAGGGCGCTTTTTAGTCTGTCAGTGCACTTTTCCTCCTGTCGGAAGTGTTCCACCAGATGACATCCGGATAATACTGCAGGAAAAATAATGAGTTACTCAGACATTTTTTGGGTTGTGATATATAATTTATATCCATCTTTCTCGGGCAAGTCACATCTTCAGCTGTATCAGTTGTCAAGATGTAAAAAAAACATGAACCATAGAAGCCTCTTTAATAATTAAAACGGCTGACCTCTTACTTGAACCAATTTTAGAGAATTCTGCAGGGAAAAATAACGACTTATTTAGACAATTTGAATGACGCGCAATTTACATCCATCTTTCATGGGCGTTCTCTCGCATCTTAGTGAAGTCCAGTTATAAAAAATATCACACATGGTGTTCTGTTTGACAATTAAAGCGGCTGACACGACACTCAAACACATCCTTGATTTGTTTCTTTGTCAATAAGCAAAATGAGTTATTAAATGTTGTAAAGCTCTCCTCCCAAAGATAGAGGGTGCTGTTGTAAAGCGAGTGAGCCCGCTGCTGCCAATACACTTTGTCTTTTTTTAATACGCCCGTCCCATCCCAACCCCCCCCCCCCCCTTCCCCTGTCCCTCTTTCATGCTTGTTTTCTTTCTGCTCCACCAGTGAGCCCACAGAGGACCTGGGCTCCGCCAAAAACCATTAGTGTTCACATCTCTGTTCAAGACCGACATGTAAGAACAATGTTCACACTCTGCCAGGATGCCCCTCAGAAGACGACGCTTCAGGGCTGTTGTTGTAGAGAGAGCAAAAAAAGAAAAAAAGAAAAGGTGACAGAGTGGGTAGAAGTCTCCTGGCCTTGATGGAGCGCGGAAACTTTCGTCTTTTGATCCAACCCCTATTTTGCATCCACCACTCCTACTGTTCGCTCACCCCACATGCTTTAGTTTTCTCTTTCCCCGCTGCACAAAAGAGAAGCACAATATCCCTTTGTGGCCGCAGCTGCCCCTCTGTGGAAATGAATGGTGTTTCTCCTTTTCATTTGTCCTAAAAGAACAAGCCGCCGTGGGTTATTATTACTGCTGAGGGGTTTTAAAGGGTATGTGTTTTGGCACGGGTTAGCCAGCTTTGACATCCAACGATGATGGTGCGCTGCAGGGGGTGCACCTCTGATGTCAACACACACACCAACAAAGCACATATTGTTCACATCTCACACCTCGGTCAAGTTTGTGTGTGTGTGTGTGTGTGTGTGTGTGTGTGTGTCAGTTTGTGTATAGCTAGCTGGTGGGTTGGTGTCTGTCTCCCTGCAGTCTCCCTGACCCGATGCTGTATGCTGCCCTCGCCCTCCGCTCATTAATATGCTTTAATTTCCTTTGACCTTTCAGTCGGTCTTGAGCTTGATTTTAATTAAAAAACCAGCGATACATTCACAATGAAAGGAGATAAACTGCACAAACACGGCGGTAAACAGTCACAAGATAAGAAATGATATGTATCTTCTTGGATGACAAGCATTTATTCATGATTAGTCATGTAAAAATGGATTCATCAAAGCCATTATCTCCCAGCTCGGGGAGATTTGCAGACTGTGTAATCTTACTAATGTCCAACAGTGTGTCGGCTAATATTTAAACAGCCTCCTCTAGGTCAACAGCTATCAACCTGTTACCAGGCTCATATCGGCGGGGAGGGGGTGGTGGGGGAAGAAAAACCCTGTCCATCACGGCGTCCTGGGAGCTGTAATCCACACTTGTTACCAAACCCTCACATCTGGCTATTTGCATTTTAATGTAACTGTCAGATTAGGGGAGGGGAGAATGGAGGGAGGGAGAGAGGGGGGGGGAGCTGTTTGTGTGAAACCAGGGGAGTGTGACCGCCCAGGGAGTTTGACGGACTTTTTGAATGTTCTGTCACGCCGCACAATCCCATTCCACCATCTCACGGCGGCCATTACCAGCCAAAATCAGACCCTAATTAGGTGGTGTTATTTAATTAAGATGGCCCGGTGCGAGGCGTACACATTAATCACGGCTAATTTAGAGGAAGAGGGTGGTAAAGTAGGCAAAGGTGGAGAGAAAGAGAAAGACTTGGGGGATCTGTAATGGGACATTAAAGCTGAGAAATGAGCTCTACACTTCTTATTTTTTTTATACCCGTTTAAGTAAAGGATGGATGGATGGATGGATGTCAGGATTTGGGGGGGGGAAAAAGAGGGGTAAGCCGAGCATTAAAGGGGTTGAGGAGGAGGAGGAGGAGGAGGGGGCAGAATTTGTTGGATGTGTTTGATGAGCAGCAGGGAGGGATGCATGTGGCATTTGACTAAAGTGATACACTGAGCGGGATTAGACCCCATCATTGTCTCTGTTTACCATGATCCTTTGTGCTGCTGTGCATGCTAGTCCCCCTCGTCTCTCTGTTTGCCTGTCTGGCACTAAGCTGGGGTAATACCACGCACAAGTGGATTTCAAAGGCTGAATAAATAGCATGTTGTGGTATGTTGATGCCTCCTGTTGCATGTTGTCCCCCGTGGGACCCGCTGCTGCCTACATTTCAGTGGCGTTCTTGATTCTATGATGTCGTCTTTACCTACAACTGAAATTCAAAAGGAGCTGCTGGTTTTCAGAGATGAATATGAGAGAGCAAGAGAGAGAAAGAGAGAGAGACAGTATAATCACAGAAACTGATTTATACTTTTGCAGTACGGATAGATGTTTTTTCAGTTGCTAATAATGTAAGGTTTTTAACTTAGATTTAAACTTTAGATTCAGTTTTTACAATCCGTTACTGATCCAGGAACTCTTAAATTTCACATTTGGACGTGTTTTGTTCCTCCATTCCCTGAGGTCAACATGACAATGGAGAATTCTGTCGAAAGTTTAAGAGGGGCTGAGGCTTACAAGTATTTTCACTTTAAATAAATCTCTACATTCACACAGCACAGATGACCGACACTGCGTCTGAGTATCAAAGCACTTGTCTCTGCCATTCTTCTGTGTCTATAGCTTCATGGCTTGTGGATGACTCTGCTCATGCAGCCATATATACCTGAATTGTTATTTTTTTTCTGCCAGAGAATTAGATTTATTGCAATCTGGATGTAAAGAACCTCCACCAGTTATTAAAATATTAAGTAAGGGTTCATTTTTATATTTCCATTATTCTATGTTCTAGGGACAT